TGTTCTGAAACGCGTAATTTTTTTTCTGCTGAAGCTTACTCGCCCCTCTTTCTCCTGGCTCACAGAAGAGGGTGAACAACAATTCTCAGCCTACAGCAAGTTTACAGGCACTGTCGCCATTTTTTCTATGTATGATTTTAATGCCTGTACAATGTGTCAAACTATGATGTTTCAAAATAATTTTGTAATAAAACTATTCACATGTTTATATCACTTGTTTTGAGTTGCCTTAAAAGTCCCCGTACAAATTACAGGGGACATACTTATGGTACTTTTGCAATACAGTATAGTGTATTTTTACTGAAATTTTGCACTTGATAAAACCATGGCACTAATATTGTGACATAAAAAAATGGAACTACCCCTATTTTGTTTTCTAGGGTCTCTGCTTTCAGAAAATAATGTTTAAGACGCTTTTGCAATGAAAGAGTTTGATCAACTCTGTACAATAACATTTTTGTATTGCTTTTGACATTATTCTGTGAAGCATTTTGTACACTTGCATTTGCATTGTTCCTTTTACTATGCATGTTTTTTTTTTTTTTATTCCTCCATTCAGTTCACATGAATGCATCACAAACAAATCCCAAAACTAATCATAAATGAATCTTAAATGCACAATACGTTTTGCTTTAGATTTGCTTCTAATTCTAAAGCCATAGTCCTGCTGCCCTAAAGCATCTGGTGTTTCTTTCATAAGTAAACAGTGCTAAGTGCAAAAAAGATTGCCCAGCTATTGCTCAGCTTACACAGTTATCTTTTTATAAAATGGAACATGTCATTAAAGGGTAATAATAGTTTTTGCAATGATGTAGCTACATGTGAAAAAGATCAATTAACGTAAACAATATTATCAGTGTGTGCTAAATAAAGATCTTGCTTCTGTGTAAGGTTTCCAATTATGAAACATTTTCATCCTCTTTTTTTTTCCACTGGGGTTTATGCTGCCACTTTGAAGTGAATAACCAAACAAAGGCAGGAATCTCTGCCCAGGCATAACCTCTCGGAGCTTAGCTAAGCCTCAGTTTTGTAGAAAGCAATGAAGAACAGCCAAGAGGGGCTATATCCCTGTGGTCTTGTGATTTACTCCAGGTAAACGAAAAATCCCTTTTTTTTAATCGTACATCACAGGACACAGAGGACTTAATAGTCATGACTAGTTGGGATGTGTTGAAGCTCTAAACCTGTGGGGGGGCTTCATACCACAGGCCTGAGAAGTGAGCTGACAATTACACCTAGACATAGTAAATGGAGAAGCTGCCTGACCCTTCTGAGGACTCTCAAGCAGAACAAAAAATTGGGGAAGCCCACACAGGAAGACTAATCTGTGTGACACCCTACATACAGGCTTTTACCAAGAAACGAGACGTAATAGGTTGCTGAAACAGAAAGACCAAGGCTGAAATCTGTCCTATGATGTTAATTTAAGTCATAGACACTCCACACCAGACAGGATAAAAAAAAAATACACTTGACGACATACAGTTGGGGATGAAACATACAGTTAGGTCCATATATTGTCAGGAAAGGGCTCACCGCTGGTGGTGCTGTGGCTCACCTTCTCTATGGGCTGCAGTACCGGGACATACCAGCGAGTGCCTTTCAGCAGCCAGGATCTCACCTCCTGCAATCAAGCAATCACCTGAGGCTGATTGCAAGAGGTGTACTTAAACAGCATTTGGCCTGTAACCAGTGCCTTGGTGTTTTGTTCCCATGTGCCTGTGATATCCTGTTTTCCTGAACCTGCTCCCCATTCCTGTGATCTGCTCCGTGTCCTGTCTGCCTCTCTGTGCCCCATGCTTGATCAGCTGTGTATGACCACGGCTAGCCTTGACTACTCTTTTGTTCCGCACATGTTTATATTGGGTGAAGGTTTTTTTATTTGGTTGTTGCTTGCACTGTGCGTTTGTATACTGGTGTGTCTCACAAATAAATTATATTATTTACATTGCTCCTGAAGCCTGATATTCCCTGTGACAGTCCACACATCTCTGGTCATATCTGGATTACTGACATATATATTTGGACGCAGGCACAATTTTCACACTTTTGGCTCTGTATGCCACCAGAATAATTTAAAACGAAACAATCCAAATGAATTTGAAGTGCAGACTTTAAGCTTTAAGTCAAGGGGCTGAAATTTTACAAATTTTAGGAACTGCAACCATTTTTATACACAGTCTCTCCATTTTCAGGGGCTCAAATATAACTGGACAAATTAATATAATCATAAATAACATGTTCATTTTTAATATTTTGTTGAGAATCCTTGCTGGCAATGACTGCCTAAGTCTAGAACATATGGACTGGACATTACCAAAGACTGGGTTTCCTCCTGATGCTTTGCCAGGCTCTACTTGCAGCTGTCTTCAGTTGTTCTTTATTTGTGGGTCTTTCTGCCTTTAGTTTTCCCTTCAGCAATTAAAATGCATGGTCAATTGGGTTGAGATCATGTGATTGACTCAGCCATTGCAGAATATTCCACTTCTTTTCCTTCAAAGGCTCCTGAGTTGCTTTTGCAGTGTGTTTTGCATCATTGTCCATCTCTACTGTGAAGCACCGTCCAATCAACTTTGCTGCATTTGGCTGAATCTGGGTCGACAGTATATCTCTAAACAGGACAGATTTCATCTGGCTGCTTCTTCTGTCACATCATCAACACCAATGACCCAGTGCCACTAGAAGCCATGCATGCCCATGCCATCACACTGCCTCCACCATGTTTTACAGATGACGTGTGCTTTGTATCATGAGCTGTTCCTTCTTCACACTTTTTTCTTCCTGTCATTCTAGTACAGATTAATCTTAAGTTTCATCCGTACAAAGAATGCTTTTCCAGAACTGGTCTGGATTTTTTTAAATGTTTTTGGCAAACTCTAATCTGGCTTTTCTATTCTTCAGGCTTATGAATGGTTTTTGCACCTTGTGGTGAACCCTCTGTATTTGCTTTCGTGAAGTCTTCTCTAGATTGTAGACTTTGACAATGATACGCCCACCTCCTGGAGAGTGTCCTTCACTTGTCTGTATGTTGTGAATGGGTTTTTCTTTACCATAGAGAGGATCCTTTGATCATCCACCACTGCTGTCTTCCGTGGATGTCCATGCCTTTTTATTTTGCTGAGCTCACCGATGCATTCTTCTTTCCTTAGAATGTACCAAACTGTTGATTTGGCCACTCCTAATATTGCTGCTATCTCTCTGATGGATTTGTTTAGCTTTTGAAGCCTTACAATGGCCAGTTTCACTTGCATGGACAGCTCCTTTGAACGCATGATGTAGGTTCAAAGCAATATATTCCAAATGCAAATATCACACTTAGAATCAACTCCAGACCTTTTACCTGCTTAATTGATGAAGAAACAACGAAAGAGTAGCTCACACCTGGCCATGAAATAGCTTTTGATTCAATTGTCCAATTACTTTTGGTCCCTTGAAAAAGGGGGAATGGCTATACTTAAGAGCTGTAATTCCTAAACCCTTCCTTCAATTTGGATGTACATACCCTCAAATTAAACCTGAGAGTGTGCACTTTCAGCCCATTTCCATTATAGAACTATAGCTTGAATATGTTTTGGTAAATATCTGAAAAAAACTAAAATTGTGCCTGTGTCCAAATATATATTGATCTAAGTGTGTGAGCCTCAGAGAGGACCATCATGTGAACTTCTGCCCAAGACAAGCTTAGGTCTGCTTCCTCCTGAGCAGAGCAACTTCTTCTCCCTGCTTGATGGTTGACATATGCCAGTTTCACTCCATCTAGACTGAAACTGGGCACAGGAGACTGTATCAAAAGCGGCTGCCATCTTCTCCATCACCGTCAGGAAAACCTAAATTGAGGGACTTTCAAACGTTCTTAGGGACTCTATCTGGGATTGTGGAGACAGGAATTTCTCTTGCAGAAGCAACCTGTGCTGTTTCAAGGACCAAGCATAAGTACTCTAGATGTTGGTTTGGAACCAAGGCTGACATCTGAAGGTCCACACCATGCTGGACATTTGATGTTAACTACTGAGCTGACTGCTCTCTGAGAAGCAGGATGCCCAAGTACCCCACAGTGGGGATACCTGGGTCCTCAATAATCCAGGACTATAGTAACACCTTGGTAAACCCTGGGGACAGGCCCAAAAACTGGCAATGGTGATGCTTCACTGCGAATCGGAATATGTAGGCATGAATCCTTGATATCCACTGACACCAACATGTTCCCCTTATGAAGCAAAGCAATCCTCAAATAAGTGGATACTATCCTGAGTTTCTGTACGGGCCAATATCCCAGTCATACATTCATGGTATATACCTGTTATTTTATTCAGGAAAGCAACTTCACAGTGTCTAAAATGCTTCCAAATTTTGAAAAGTTTTGGCTGGAGCTGGGCTTTAAATATCCTTGATGTCTTTGGCAGAATTTGGAATGATTGGCTAAGTTGGCAGGTTGCACAAAGTTTACAGAAAGTAACATATTGTAAAAGATATATTACTGGTTAATGTGCTTGATTTGTTTGAGATCAAAGGTAAAAAGGAGATCTAAACTTGCAGGTTTACAAAGGAGAAAGTTTTAATTGCCTGCTGGTACCTGCAGCCACAGGGCTATCAACTGCAAGAAACATTATGTAAACTGTTCAATAGCACTTTATTGCTTCCTGCCATGTCATTGCTTCACATTGCTTCATGTGACACCTCATTCCCCAGGGAAACTCAGGTTTTTTCTAGCTATGGACATTGCTTTACCATGTGCACATTATATCCTGTCCAGTACTGACATTAATATTGATAATGTGTTCAGAACTTTCCCTATGTAATATCCTACTTATGATTTGCCAAGTAGTACAGTCAGTTGGAAACACGTGTATTAACATGATAACCCCACAGGGTAGGAAGCACATGCTCCACTGCACTGCAGAGCTTCTATTGTCAGCCAATAATAGTCACAACCAGTGAACAGGTAAACTGTTAACCTGTCTGCTCACTGTATTGTCACAATAAAGCAGTCTCATATCAGCTCAAAGCTTACTCTGTCTGCTGCGGGTGGAGGATCCAGCAGAGCTGGGTCGACTGGTTTGTTGTGGTCCAGACTGGGAAAACTGAGGCGCAATAGTAGGAGTCTTGGCTTTTCGCGGGCTGACACTTGGAACTTCAGGACTGCGTGGCATCCAGGATCTAATTTAAGAGGCGTCAACAGAAAAGGACACAAAAGCAAAATCGTTAGTACAGAAGTAGTCCGCGAATAAAAGTGGCCATACACTGCTAGCTTTTTTTTTTTTGTTTGAAAAATAGTTTCCTCCATCCACCTCAATTGTGTGAATGCCCCCTGCCAGTACACTGGATTCTGACAGCCGCACCCACAGATAGAGGAATAATTACAAGAACATCTGATAGAGCTTGATGAAAGGATCAGCTTCTGTGCAGCTGGGATGACCACACATTGATTGAAACTCGTTTGGCCCCTGGATCCAACATCCCCATCCTGCTATGCCAGACGTTTGTTACACATCATTATAATGCTGAGCCCCTGGGGTTTGGGCTTGAGCGTTTCTGATGTCCTTCTCCACTTCCTATTTTTCACTTCTCTCCCTCTTTTCTTCTCTTTCTCTCCCTTTGTCCCTAGGCTCACCCGCAGGACTGATCAGTGAAATAAGATCTGTTCTTGCTTATTTTTTCGTATGTTTATAAAATGATGTAGTTCACAAATCGCTACTTCACCCATATACGCCTGCTTTTGCAATACAGACGCATGGACTTTTTCTTGTTACTCATATCGTGTTTTTCTCTTGTTGCTATAAAGTGATCGATGTACATTTGTCATGACAGATATGTCTTGATGTTTATCACTGTTCTTGTATATGTCATTGACATTGTTTTTCCATCAATAAATGTAATAACAGTAACTATTGTATCTTTTGCAAAATTATTTCAATAAAAACTTATTGAAAGCAAAATGTGTCTGGTGTCTGCTGAACCAGCCAAATTTTGATCAGTGTATTGCCAGCTTTAGGCACTACAATGACTAACCCAGCCTATAACCCCACTACTCTTATAGGCAAAGGATGGATCTGATGAAGACGCACATCTATGCAGACCTGCTGGGTTTGGAATGAATGACAGTCTCAGCTTGGGCTCCCACCAAGCCACCCCCTAACGCGTTTCACTCTGCTGTATGATCCTCATAAGTAAGGCCCGAGGGAGGAAGTGAAATGCATTGGAGGCGTGGCCTGGCAGAAGCCCAGCTTGAGACTGCCATTCATTTCAATAATAGTGGGTCTGCATAGATATGCGGCTTCATGGGATACATCCTTTGCTTAACAGTTGCTTGTAGCTGAGACAAGCGCCTTCCCTGGTCTGCACTCATAGTGGTGGACATAGGATTGCTTTCCCTTGTAGCCTGAGCGGCGCACATTTTCCATTACCAGTTCATCCACTACTCTTATAGGTGAACCATCAATCTACATCAACATAGAAAGTATTTTTTTTAACAGTTCCTCCAACATAATGTAAATGCAGCCTTATGACATGCAGTAGAATTTATTTATATAGAATGTCCCCAACCTTTTCTATTACATGAGACACATAATATCATAAAGAAATGTGATGTACTGTAGACTCTGGGATGGGGGAGGAAAGGGGAAGTCTTGTTTTACACAACTTTATTTACACTGATTTATTATATGCCAGCTTGTCTAAAATAAAACTATGCAGCTGGAGTGAGCCAGACATATTAGAGATGATGCTGGAGTGTGGGGAAGTGGGGTAATGCTTAAGGGGTTACCATGCAGGGTTGTATCATAGTCACAAATCTGACCTGCTGTTAGATTTGTGTTGGCAGTTTATTTTTTCACTCTCAGTACAAATTTGACTTGTGCTGGCAAATAAAGCCTAATTAGCATATGGAAGGTCTCATCATTCATTTCCATAGAGTGTCAGGTTGAAATTAAAGTTATTAGTTTTATGTAAAGCATGGGTGCTCAACCTGTGGCCCCTGAGGCATTGCCAGGCTGACAGTTACAAGCTTCACTCCCAAAGGCTAGGGCATAATGGGATTTGTAGTTCCACGACAGCTGGGGGGGGGGGTTACCGGTTGAGCACCTATGCTGTAAAGAGTTCTAACAATGTTTTAATTATGCCAAATGTGAAATTCATGTTCACTTTCGGTAGATACCCTGGGATTTTTTCCACTTTAAATCTCCCTAGCAGGGGGCACAGACAGCAATGAAAATCTGAGACAGGTCCTAATTCCTCTACAGTAAATATGAAAACTAAAAGAAAAACATTTTTTGTCCTTAGTTCTACTTTAATAATATAAAATACAAGAATAGTGTGCAAGAATCTACAGCAATTATTGGGTTACTGCACATCAAAATAGCTGCTGTGAAAATGTATAAATTGTGAAGAATTTACCTATTACTGTGTCCATTATTTTTCTCCATACCCAAATCCAGGATCTGAGGTGAAGCGGGAGATACAGGCCCTCTTTGCTCAGATCGACTTGTTGGTGAAAAGACCTGAGATGACTCTGTATCTACAGCTATAAGAGGCATATAAAGAAAACAAAAATGTGGCATTATTAAAACAATCCTGGAAATTCTCCACAGATAACTGAACATTCTTTTCGCCATCACGCAGCGCAAACTAGAAGCCCTGAAACCCTGGGCAATCAAACAGGCAAATACTGGCTTCAGTTCTTGAAGTCAAAGCTATAGCTCACCCTATCCTCCTAGTGGTCAGGGAGGCTACAGTTAAGGGCCAACAGTGAAAGGCAGGCCTTTACTCTATAATGTACAGCGCTGAGCAAACCTTTTAGCGCTATATAAATACTGTATAATAATAATAATACTCTGACTTCAAGAACGGAAGTCACTGTTACATAATAGATGGTCTGTTTTTTTCCAGGATGCTCTACAAAAGTCTGTTACTAGAATAGTAAGGAACCTATGGATGCCTGCTGCTGTATAAGCAGTCTTTTGTATCACCATATTAGCAGCCTCATATATGGAGGGAAGTGTCCCGAGGTGATTGCCTCATTGAAGGTTTCTAAAAGGACTGAGAGCAAAGTCTCACCATATTGTCTGTAAATTTCAATAGGGAGGCCACCCACTACCATGCTTTACAATTAAGTAAGCTGGGCATCGTTGTTTCTAATTTGTGAAGTGTAAGTGGAGCATCTAACAGTTTTATCAGCTGCGGTTAAGGACAGGGCTGTAGTTCAGTACTAGTACAGTGCACTTTAGAGGTGTATAGCTCATGGAAAAAGCTATTAGATTGGGTATGGATATGGCTGATGATGTCTCATAGGGCTCCAATACAGCTGGGAGAAAGCAGTATGACAGAAGTATTTTTTCTGCCTTTATATCTTCAGTCTATGAAAGGTTTTTTTAAAAAAAAAAAAAATCTTGATTAGCACTGTGCCTCCAATAAGCAGAAAGGAATAATGCGAGCAGGATCACTGATATACCCAATTTCAGCCTCCAAAACAAGCCTACTGATTAAAGTGTTACTAATCCCACAACAGTAAAATCAGTCTGTATATACAGTAAAGCATGCTTGTTATACTCACTGTGGAACCTAACGGGTTAAACCTCAGCATTGTGTAAAAAGGTTGTTTGGTCCTTTCTTCTCTGCCCCTCTTCTTGTTGAAATGACCACTTGATACAGACTGAACCCGTGGTCACATGCATATGCTTTTTCTTGGGAGAGTGCATATGATCAGCACAGGGCCAATCAGCACTGTCCAGACAGAGGTCAGGGGTTCTGCATCCCCCTAAATCAGAAAGAAAACTCCTCCTACAAGCTTTAACCAGGCTCTGCTGAAGTCTCAAGACTGCTCTAACAGCTGATGAGAAAAGATATTTAGCAGTTTATATTCACTAAAATAATTGCATTTCCATGTTGTGTGTACTGTGGGAGACCAGTTGAAGTGAATGCATGGTCCTGGGTTTAGTAACACTTTAATAGAGCAAAGTTCCTCAATGAGAAGGCCCCAAAGCTATGCATTTACTGTATCTCAGACTATACTTTGGGGGGAGAGAAGCAGTATTACTCGATCTAAAAGATGATAGGACCAGGCTCTTTAGATTCATGAGAAGGAAAGACGGATTGCAATGATCAAGGTGGAGTGGTCAGAGATTTCCCTAGGCTGTGCAGTTTAAGAAAATTAATGTCTTTCCAGGTTCATTTAAAAAAAAAAAATGTATATTATCATTTGTTTTTACATAAATGTAAAATCTCTGTCACTATTTAATGTAATATAGGAACCAGTTTTTCAGATAATCTGGTCCTTACTGGAAGTTACTTGCATTGTAAACACCTACCTGTGGTCAGAGTTCACACTGTCAATTGCAAAAAATCAAGGTTATTGTTAAACAGTAAACAATTCACGTGTTTTTTTGGCTGGGTTTACACTGTTGTGCTGCAGTAATACACTTGAGTGATGGTACTCTGTGTAACGATTATGCGCAATAGAGACATGGAATTTGTACGCGACCGCCATCTTGTAAAGGTCTCAGGCATTTTTTTTTTTTTATGAACAATCATCTTTCACCCCTCCTCTTGAAATGAAATTTGTAGCTCCAAGTTGTAAGGAACTTCAAGAGAGCCTCTTATCGTAAATAAAACACAAATAAAGGCCAGCTACAGAGCTGTAAACCACTAATTAGTCTTGGCAGGATGTCTATTTTGCAAAGACACTTTCCTCTGCCCTATCTTAAAACAAGAAGTCAGCCGTCACACATAACCTGTTAGGCCATTAGAGCTAGGAATGCAGAGCGTGCCATAAACCGTCTATTCCACATGTAACAATTCATAAAATTCAACAGGAACTGGCCACATTAATATTAGGTATATATTTGGATAGATAATATCATGCCGAACAAAACAAGGTCCTACATGACTATGTTGGCACATAGGAAAGGGAAGAAAGCAGTCTCTTCCCTCCTGGGTGACAAAGGTACTCTGTGTTTGGTATCCCTGGGTTTGAAATATAATTCTGAATATTAATCAGCCAGTTGCTAGAATACAACCTGCACATATTGGAGGTTATTAATATTAGTATGAAACTGTAGTAGGGACTTGGTCATAAACTTGGTGACCTCCTAGCACCCATCCCCTAAACTGGGTGATTGGTCATTTGTTCTCAGGTGACACCCCTTTAATATCATAGAAAAGGACTGACAGGCCTGGAGAAGGGAGCTCTCGTTTAACATCAATCAAGAAACATCTTAACGGACTTGAGAGCCAAGGCAACATTTTCGCTCGGACAATTGGACTCTGCTAAACCAGGACTTTGCAAGTATTCTGCCTTCTTAACTCCTTTATTTTATTTCTTTGCTGCCTTATTGTTCTTTTTATGTCTCTGTAATATCTTTTCTGTAAATATTTTAATTGCACCATTTTTTACCTTTTTAGTAATATATCCAATTTTGAAAAAGTGTTGAAACTCTCTCTAAAGCTTTTAATGCAAACTAAAGAATCCCTGTCTCTTAAAGAGTGCTACTGTATATAATAATCCTCTGAATATACCTGTCTGTGGTGACAGTGTGTGTTGCAGACACTTATGCTAATATTATAGTGCAATTGCTAGCATTTATGAGTTTCTGCCTTCTCTGTAAAAAGGCGGTGGTGGCAGTGTGAAGGGTTAATTGTGTAACTAACCTAGCCCAGTAACAATTGCTTTGAGGCTGCTGGCACATAGATTGTGGTCCCGCAAGTTGGAAAATCTTTGTGCAGAGCGCAGCTGAGAGTGGCATTGTTATGGAAGTGACAGCGCGGTATGAGATCAGCTGGTCCTTTGTCACGAGTTGGTGAGAAGGGCAGGGGTTGGGCACCGCGTTCTGTCACACTCTGTTGTGCCATTCATACTTAAAGGCACCCCAACACATGTTGCTAAAGGACATGGGCTGCAACATACCACAACACACAGTAATGCAAGAGATTTCCACTGTAAGTGTAAGCCTTTTATTTATCAAATACCAATATTTGCATCTTTCACTCCATGCCCTTGATGAAGTCTTTATGATGAAACCTGTAGGGCAGGTTTAGTGACACAACTTCTAGAGGCAGGGTTTGGACATATGCCTGGATACTGTTAGTGGCGTTGTCTCCCCAGGTAAATGCAGGACCGTTACCTCTGATGTTTTATCTATCACCAGTGCAATGTATGCTCTCTGCATGTATATTCTGAGCAAGAGTTAACATGCACCAATGAATGTGCACCTTCAGAACTCCTTTAAGTGGACTTTAATGCCAGGAGGTAGGACAGATTCTCTAACATGAGACCACTGTGGTCGGCTCTCACAGCAGTCACATGATCAGAGGATTATCCTGCTGGCTCCTGATTAGAAGCTGTGACTGAAGGCTGGCAGAAACAGTTCAGTTAGTGTGCTGGAAGCATGCAGGGAGTACATTCTGAGCAGAGAACCTAAAGCCAAGTGGATGCATACCTGCGACAACTGGGCGTTAAAGCCCATTTTCCTGTAGCATATGTGTTACACCATTGGCAAGGGATTAATAAAGACGAATGTGCTTTTGTAACTGTAGTGAAATCACTATGAATTTCTATATATTTTCTAAGCCTGAATCTCATACTGCCATTGAATAGTAAAAGGAGCACTCCCTTGACTTGCGTTCTATGGATCAGCCCATTGGAGTGACTAAAAGGAACATTTACACCTTTATATAATTTAGAAGTCTAGCAAAAAAAAGATGAGATTTGCTCCACTGGGGTTTCTTTGTCACTTTGCGACAGGGGAGTGGATTGGATCATCATATGCGACTTTCAAGCATTGAATGCACCAGTGTAAAAAAGTGCTCCTTAGCAATTCTTAGTTTTACGATTGTTCTGTGGTTAAAGTGGTTATAAAGTGAAAAGGTTTCTTTTACTTTAATGCATTTTCTGCATTAAGGTAAAAAAAACCCTTTGAGTAGCTGTCCCTCTATCCCCTCTCCCTACTTTCCTGAGTTCTGTAACGACCCGGTGCTGTGCCTTTCTTCAGGTGTTCTCTAACCTCTCTCACAGGCTTGGCTAAGAGCAGCGTGAGCCATAGGAAGCAGGGAGAGTGGCTAAGCCACACTGTTTGTGTCTACAGACAGATACAGATGGGCTTGGGAGCACACTTGCACGTGTGTCCCCATAAAATGCTTCTTTCTATGGTGGCACACAAAGAGGAGGCAGAGCAGAGAGCAGCGGCAGGGGACCCCAGAAGAAGATGTAACTACAGAGCAGGAAGTCATAATATTTTTTTTTATTTTAGCAAAATACAAAATTTGACTTTACAACCACTTTAAATCAACTCACAAAAGAGGTGTTTGCAATTGTGGCAGAAAGAACATAGATGCACATTTGCTATAAATCACACAAAACTGTTGGGGCGCAACACTGTCCCAAAGATTCTTGCTAACATTTTTGCATACAAATTGCTTTGGAATATGGCCTCCTTTGTTGTGACCATTCATTTATTTCAGTAATCTTCCCATAAGCTTACATTATACAGTATATGCATTTAACATTTGTTATGCAAGTTACTGTATTCACCTTTAACAGCCTGTTTCTAAAGATGTCACCATCTTGAATGTGGTATCAGCATGTCCAGTAGACTCCAAGCTATCACTCAAGTAAATCTCTACATTTTCGTGGAAGCTACATAAAATGTTATATAAGGCGAGGGGGTGACCGAACAGAAAGAGAAAGTAGACAATTCTAGAAGTAAGGAGGGTTATGATGAGCAAGAAAAGGAGAGATTGTGATGGAGAATTGACTTTACTGGAGTAACCAAATGTTTTAGCAAGCTCAAAGGCATATTGCACGTAAATAACAATCATTTATGTATAATAGTAATAATTTATGGAAAGGAAAAATGCGCAAGTAAGCAATTAGAATACATGGTTTTTATCTGCAAGTTTTTAGGTTGATGACAAGGTGTCTTTAAGAATATGTAAATACTTTAATGTCCATCATCTGGGAAAAGGTGCTATTTAAAACCCACTCAAAGTAAAAATAAGTGAACAGGTAAAAATGAGATTAAGCCTAACAGTAAAATCACACTCAAAGGAATGCAACCAAATCTGGGGAATGTCATATAAAGAAAGATATTTCTTTTCCCTTCTTTGTCTAGTCTTTCATGTATTTTTTCTTTACAAACAAAATAAAATATTATAGAAAAACTGACAGCATAAGTATGTCATATAAATGTGTTTGGCTGCTGCAAAGACTTAATTGCACTAAAAATGGGGCTTGTTCACACCATAGTGCAGTGACCTCAGTTTTTCTGCACAGGTTCTGCAAGGGCACAACATAATCAATAGTTCTCTATATGCCCTATTCATACCTCAACACCTGGTATCACATGCAGATTTTTTTTCTGCGCAGGAGTCTGCAAAATGTATAAAATTCATTGAAGAGTGCATGAAAACTAATGTAAACTGATGTATCTGCAAGTGAAATCTGCAAGTCAGTTTCTCTGCATGTTTTTTCTGCATGTATGGTGTGAACAAGCCCTTACAGAGGATGTTTAGTACCTGATGTTCATTTAACTGTCACTTTTGTCATTAATATTTAGTAGATATAGGAAATCTAATGCAAATATATTCTTGCAAAAAACAACTACAGATTCGTATTGCCTTTGTTTATATTTATGGAGCAGCAATTTTTCTGCTAATCACACTTTTTGGCATAGTCCTCAATCTACTTAAGCCCAATAGAGGGAAGCCAAGAATCAAAAGTTATCAGAAAATGTATTTACTTTGCACTTTAACAGTCCATTTACACATGCTCTTTTTGGCGCATCAATGTAGGTTCTGATGAGTTTGATCACTCACTTTCAGTAGCCCCTAATGGGGGCATCCATTGGTCAAAAAGTACCTGCCCTATTGAGAAGCTGTGTGCGCACATTGTGGTACCAATGAAAATGAATGGCAGGTCACCATAACTTGCTGTTTCTCCATGATAACATGTAATGTGCGCATTCAAGTGTGAATTCAACCTTAAGCTGGTCATACATGGATCTAAATTTTGCTGGTTCCGCAAGGTCTGGACAAATTTTGATTCTTCTATGGGCAATCTACTGATTGACAGGTTTTCCTTGCTCGATCAGCGCTGCAATGCTGATCCGTGTGTTCTGACAGAAGGGCAAGCCTACTCGCTGTCAGAATGCAATAGCTCAGAGGGAAGATTCTCCTATCCACCTCGAATGTGTGGATGGAGGAATTAGGTAATTTTTTTTCATTCTGCCAGCTGGTTGAACAAAACAAAAAACTGACCATACATGGATTGAAATTTGTCCGGTTCAACAGGGACCAACTGAGATTTGATCAATGTATGGGCAATCGATGTGGGTACAACCAGCTGTCATATTTTCCTACTTGTAATTACTGCTGGCAGCTTTATCTTCTAACAGTAATCATTGTGTTCTGCCAGCCAGGAGGACTCCCCTCGTGATGGAAGGAAAGTAAATCGAATCATGTATGGAATACCTTACAGTCTACTTTGGCAGCTTAGCAGATCTAAATAAACTAGAAAAGCTACAATTTCTGGTGAAATTGTGTGAAGTGTTCTTGCCTCCACCAGTAGTCTACAACTGGAATGGGCGGAGTAACTGGGTGGAGTGGCTTGAGTAACTGTTGTGTGGTTGGAGTGGCTGGAGTAACTGAAAAGGTCAATGGGTGGCGTGACTTGCAAACAAATGGTCATATTGTGAAAACTATCAGGACTATGGCTTAGCCGTGGACATTTTTAATGGCAGCAGGGATAGCTGAACATTTTCATATAAGATTTGTGTAGGTGGGCTTGAAAATGAGGGAGTGATGGCAGTTTAGAAATCATAAAAGTAAAGTGCAGCGCTAAAGAAAACAAAAAACAAAATAAAATAAAAGCACATAAAGTCAATAAAAATAAGTCCGCAAAAATAAGAGGGAGGGGGGAAAGGGAAGGCCCTAGGCCAAAAAAAAGTCTCAAAAAAAGAAGGACGACTTCAAATGCCCATATACACTGATCAAAGATGTATATACTGCGGTAGAGATGGAGTTTGAAGATGTAGTCAGGGAACAGAGGTAGATGCAATCCCCGGATCAGTGAAGATCCCCAGATCAAGGAAGCAATCGTTCCACAAGACAGCAAGGAAGCAGTCACAGCTCCACCAAAGAGAAACACCACTCCTTCACTTCATATCAGCGGCATCTAGGAGGAGATACTCCTCATAAAAAGAAAAGCCCATGGTGAGGTACATTTAAAAAGCATTTATTAAATAAAACAGGATGCATCCAGAGAATATGTGAAAATGCACACCGCTAGTGAATAAACATGAAAACTAGCAATGGAGGCGGAACAGGACTAACCGTCCTGTCAGATGTAGTGGCCGCCGGAGCTCCCCAGTGCTCCGACGGCGTGGCGTCAAGGCGTGCGCAGGTTCCTCCTTACGCGTTACGTGCCAAGAACATCCTCAGAGGAAACCGGTTCTTTCCTCTGAGGATGTGCTTGGCACGTAACGCGTAAGGAGGAACCTGCGCACGCCTTGACGCCACGCCGTCGGAGCACTGGGGAGCTCCGGCGGCCACTACATCTGACAGGACGGTTAGTCCTGTTCCGCCTCCATTGCTAGTTTTCATGTTTATTCACTAGCGGTGTGCATTTTCACATATTCTCTGGATGCATCCTGTTTTATTTAATAAATGCTTTTTAAATGTACCTCACCATGGGCTTTTCTTTTTATGAGGAGTATCTCCTCCTAGATGCCGCTGATATGAAGTGAAGGAGTGGTGTTTCTCTTTGGTGGAGCTGTGACTGCTTCCTTGCTGTCTTGTGGAACGATTGCTTCCTTGATCTGGGGATCTTCACTGATCCGGGGATTGCATCTACCTCTGTTCCCTGACTACATCTTCAAACTCCATCTCTACCGCAGTATATACATCTTTGATCAGTGTATATGGGCATTTGAAGTCGTCCTTCTTTTTTTGAGACTTTTTTTTGGCCTAGGGCCTTCCCTTTCCCCCCTCCCTCTTATTTTTGCGGACTTATTTTTATTGACTTTATGTGCTTTTATTTTATTTTGTTTTTTGTTTTCTTTAGCGCTGCACTTTACTTTTATATTTATGTGAGGAATCTTTTGGTTGTCCTATGTGTTTCAGCTGCTCGTCCTTTAAAGCGCTCACTTTTTTTCTTTGATTTACAAGTTTAGAAATCATGTCCTGATTTTTCAGCTCACACTCTAGCTTTTGTCAGCTCCCACTCTAGTTTTGAACATTCCGCCATTCATTCCTATGGGACCAATTTCACCACAAAAACGTTGATATTTTGTGAACCATTCGGCGAAACATTCCACAAAGTATGGCACACCAATCGGGAACAATCCGCCGTTTCGGTATATTACTGTCTATGTAGTGTAAAAACTGTGGGAGGAGTTAGGGTGGTAAATTTGGCTATAATAATAAGAATATATATGTGAGATAACAGTAAGTGTTCTTGCCATGCAAGAACACTTAATTAAAGAAAGCCGTTTCATTTTGATTTACAGCAGCCTGTGAGACTGTACGGCAGGAAAAAAAGGGTGGAACAGAAGGTGGGAGCTAAGTAGGCACTGTGAACGAAAGTTTTTAAATCCATATGAAAAAGTATTATAAATTATATGATGTCACTTTAGCCAGAGCAACATTTGAAAATATATATTCAGACATATTTACTACTAAATATCATCTCACCTCTACGAAATAAGTTCTTTTTAATAGATCTTTTTTGTTTACTAGAAATGATCTGGTGTATGTTGCTGTCAAAAGATGCTGGTAGTTTGCAATAATAATAACAGTGAAGTAGGATATCTACGCACAGCCAGTTTCCTGTGAAAGATACAGGAAAATGGGCTGATTTCCTGGTTGGTCTACAGAAGATTTTGGACACAAAGTTCTTTGAACATCTGCACATGTGCTCCACTGGTTCCAGGGTCACACAGCGGACACTGTCAGTGATGTCTGAAATAATGAACAGGTCACAAACAAAAACACAACAGTGACATGGGCTTCCAAACAGCTGTTTCACACCTGAATGGTTTTGTCCTTGATGGAATGGTAAACAATGACACAGAAAATTCACATTTTATCAGTTGCTCCTTTTGCTATGATGACCAAAGACTAGTGGCATATTATTATTGTATGTTGTTCCTTCCTCAGTGCTCTGATGAAAACATACAGATGTCATTGTTTTAAGTGACACTCAAAGTGCAACTGTATAACGCAGATTTTTAAGAAATGCAGACTAATCATTTCTAAAGGATGCAGCTGCTATTCCAACCAATCAGATTAAGTTGAAAGGATTTTTAAACAGGACCGAATAGTAATCTGATGGGTAACTATAGGCAATGCTACTTACATTTATAGTAGTTTTCAATACAGATCAGCGATTCTTACGTGTAATTCTAAAAGGGCAGATTTGCGTTTTTGTCTACCATGGTTGAACAAAACATAAAAAAACCTTCCAGCTAACGTGAAGGATCAACATATCAATTTTACTTACACACTGATGTCACACTGTAGTCAGCAGTAGCAGGGCGGCTACCACATCGAGTAGGAGGTCTTGATGTTGAATTTAAAGATGCTTTCTGAATTCTAAAGTTGCTTGATGGACTCAAGGGTAAGACTTCGCTCTCTGGCCTAAAAAAAAAAAAAAAAAAAAAGCATGGGGAAAATAAATAAGTAAAAGCAGCAAACGGCTTTCATGGAAAGATGAAGCCCCAAACATGACTGTAGTGCATAGTGTACTGACTGTTGTATTCACCCTTCTGAGTCACTTAACTTAACATTATTATGCAGCAGTTTTTGCAACATATCAAATCTGTACTTATTCTAGGCCAGAACTCAGGAAGATGGGCCAGTATCATAGTTGAGCATCTAACAACTTCACAAGAAGGTCAGCAATGGCAACCTAGTGAGTTACTTTAAATGTATACAATACATTAGATTTCCATAGTGGCCAACAAGATTTTATTTTCCCAGGAAATGAAACATGATTGGTTGCTACAGCCATTCACGCTACCTTTGTTCCAGCACCAGAGTGGTTAAAATTTCTATTTTTAGCGTTAACGTCACATATGTCTGTTACACGCTGCTTGTTGTCTGTAGAGAGTGGTATAGAAATACACTGAATATAAATGTATAAGGTTTAATGTAATTTTAATATAAATACATTAGGAATATATTAGCAAAATAGATCAAGTAATAAAGGGGTATAAAACTCCAAATGAGGCCCTTCTAAGAAACGGGATACAGGAGGAAAAGGTAGACACTGCTCAAACAAACCTACCACCTAAGAGGTGTGGAAACAAAGACATAGTAGGTAGAAGAATAGCAGTGGTTGGTGTTAAAGTGTATTTTCACTTTAGAAGCCAAACAACACAACCATATGTTTGGTCTTTGCTCCTAATCACACTAAAGACCTAAAAAGCACCTCTTACCTTTTAGGTGTTACTTAGGAGAAGGTGTCTTGGCTGACTGCAAGCATTTCTCAACAATTTAATTGTGAGTCTGTCCCAATAGAAAGTCTGAGGAAAGGATGAGCTCCCTCTCATTAACAAACAGGTAGAGAAGCCCAGCCTCTACATTCTAAAAATCTATTAGGAATGTTAATGATCAAATCTACTTTAGAACTGAAGAAGTGAAATCAGCCAGCACAAGTACAGGTAGAGTTAATTATGGCAAACACAGCCCCCTCATAAACAAAGGGGCTAAAAAAAGTGAAAATACACTATATATCTACAGTATGTCCTAACTTTGTTTTTCATTCTCGATTGACAGTTGCAGAATGGTTTAAAATGTCATCATTGTTTTTGAAAAAATATCTGTGTCTCATTGGGGAGATTTCTCTTTGGTTCCTGGTCTGTGTACACAGTTGGCAGTGATAAGAAATTTATCAAACAGAAAGAAATCATCTCTTAGCACTGGAGCAAAATAACTCCATTGAAAGATACCTACTCTATTCCTGTTATGGTGGCAACTCAAAATTTTAGCTTTTCTCTAGCTTTCTTTCCTGCTGACCGAGAGAGTGAATCCCCCTAGTGAGGACACAGACAAAAACCTGATAGGCATTCCAATGCTTCCATATTCTATCCAAAATTTAAAAAAATATATATCTTTTTTGGACACTGTCTTTAGATACACTTTAAAGAGACACTGCCACCTCGCTCAGGGAATGGTTACAGTGCTGGGGTCTAACAGTCAATTGCTAGGCATAAGTAATGTCATATGACAGAGGGAGTGATACCACCATCCTCCTAACACCAACACTGGAGATTTTAGTACTGAGGAGCACCAGTTAGGTGAGAATTAGTGGATCAGGGGACCCTTGACACCTGAAAGGGCAAAGTAACAGTCCCCCTCTTTAATAAAAATAGCTTACTCAGCAGAGACTGAACCAAGGTGAAAGGAAAATGGATAAACAATTCGTAAGAGGTACATACATTGTATACACAGCTCGATGACGGCTGGGGGTGACCGGTCTTTGTAATGGTTCATCAACACTCTGTAGTATACCAGAAAACATTCTCTTTTTTACTTTAAGGGTATGAGTCATGATCTGCAATGTGAGATAAAATAAATTATGAATGCACTTTTTAAAAATGCACTTATAAAATGAAAGACATTTATATTCTGGTAAATACACTATATTGCCAAAAGTATACACCTCCAAATCATTGGATTCAGGTGTTCCAATAACCTCCATGGCCACAGGTGTATCAAATCAAGCACCTAGGCATGCAGATTGCTTCTACAAACATTTGTGAAAGAATAGGTCGCTCTCAGGAGCTTAGCAAATTCAAGCGTGGTACCGTGATAGGTTGCCACCTGTGCAATAAGTCCATCCGTGAAATTTCCTTGCTACTAAATATTTCACGGTCAACTGTTAGTGGTATTGTAACAAAGTGGAAGCGGCTGGGAACAACACAATTCAGCCACGAAGTGGTAGGCCACGGGTCAGCGCACAGTGCTCAGAAGTTGTCAACTGTCTGCAGAAGCTAAAGACCTCCAAACTTCGTGTGGCTTTCAGATTAGCACAACAGTGTATAGAGAGCTTCATGAAATGGGTTTCCATGGCCGAGCAGCTGCCATCACCTTACATCACCAAGTGCAATGCAAAGCGTCGGATGCAGTGATGTAACGCACAAAGCCACTGGACTCTACAGCAATGGAGACGTGTTCTCTGGAGTGACGAATCACGCTTCTCTGTCTGGCAATCCAATGAAAGTGTCTGGGTTTGGCGGTTGCCAGGAGAATGGTACTTTCCTGATTGCTAAATAGAAATTATTTGGTGCTGTGCTAATAAATGAATATATCACATAATCAAGTAATAAAAAAAAAAACAAAAAAAACAAAAAAACTTCACAAAATCGAACATATAAAGTAGAATCTTCAAAAAAACAAGATAGAATAGAATGCACATGAAAAATCCAAAATAATGGATAACAGTGAAAATACCCCCTAAATGATAAATCTAAGGTGTAACCTAGGTACACCATTAATGATAAATAGGTGACTATAGATGACAATCCTTAGTAAGCATAAATGGTGCCAACATAAATGGTGATAATTCCACAAAATAGGATCCCACCACGACAGTGCTAAATATGCACTAAAATAGTGCTGTGATGTGAAAATATACCTTCAGGTATACTGCGTGCCAACTAATAGTGGCTATAAAAATATCAGAGTAAAGACACATATAGTGTACATAGTGAACATAAAAAACTATTAAAAAAGTGGTGAATGGTAAAAACCACAAAGCTGATATGACGCTATGCAGTTGCTGAATATTTGATCAGCCAAAACTCAAACAAAAATAGGAACTGGTATGATTAAAGTGAACCATATATCAATCACCCCTAATTGGGGATAATGTGAAAAAATGAGTGACTAAGTGACACTTATACAATGATGTATATGGTGGAAAATTATAAGCCACAAAGCCTATATAACGTAATCCTGTAGCTGGGAAATGTAAATAAGAGTATAAATAAGTGTGAACTAATTATTCGTGACCCAAAATTAGGGGCTAAATAATAGAATAAGTGACACAAACGTAAATCCGTGACACATAAAAGTAATAGATCAAAAAAAGGTCAAAAACCATATATAAATCATCCAACATATATAGTGAGTCTCATCCATTTATAACGATTCAACCTAACAATGGTGGACGTGTTCTATAGGCCTTAAATGGTGTTGTTGTATGAAAGATTATACATAGAAGGAGATCTGACACTGGGTGAAATGCCCCCTCACCTCCATGAAGCGGCCCCACAGGGTCAAAGCGCTTGTTCAAGCAATAACGCACCAACCGGGAACCCGGACCCCTCCTGAAGGTATAGGGTCCAACGATGGATCCATCCCCCTCACTGATGGATAACGGCACAGTAGGCAGGCTCTTCAAAAATATCCTAGGATCAGCCAATCCTCATACAGCCAGAGAAGATAAAAAGGAAGATGCAAGCATGTGGCTGCAGCAGGCCATGTGCTCTCATCTGCAGGTCAAAGGGCCTTTCCTGATTGCATTGTGCCTAGTGTAAATGTTGGTGGAGGGCGTATTATGCTGTGGGATTGTTTTTCAGGGGTTGGGCTTAGCTGCTTAGTTCCAGTGAAGGGGACTTTTAAGGCATCAGAATACCAAGATATTTTGGATAATTTCATGCTCCCAACTTGTGGGAACAGTTTGGGGATGGCCCTTCCTGTGCCAACATGACTGTGCACCAGTGCACAAAGCAAGGTCCATAAAGACATGGATGTGAGAGTTTGCGGTGGAGGAACTTGACTGGCTTGCAGAGTCCTGATCTCAACCTGACAGAACAACTTTGGGAAGAATTCAAGAGGAGGCTGCAAGTCAAGCCTTCTTGTCTGACATCAGTGTCTGACCTCACAAATGCGCTTCTGGAAGAATGGTCAAACATAGACCCAGAGACACACTCCTAAACCTTGTGGACAGCCTTCCCAGAAGAGTTGAAGCGGTTATAGCTGTAAAGGGTGGGCCAACTCAATATTGAACCCTATGGATGTGGATTAAAACTGGGATGCCATTAAAGTTCATGTGTGTGTAAAGGCAGGCGCCCCAATACTTTTGGCAATATAGTGTATGTAACTATGCTTTCAAATCTAACATCATCAATAAACAGTTTTGAATGGTTGTGGAGCCTTTATGCCTCACTTTGTTTATACAATTTCTGCTTTCTTTGCTGACCTCTTAGCACAAGCAAAGAAATGTAAATCAATCTGATGTATGAAAAAACAGGCATTTGACAGACATTGAGGAGGCGATGTGTCAACATACTCCCAGATATTCTGTTGTAAGTAGTTTTTCCCCAAAGGATTCCCCAACTTGAGGTTGAATTGCTTCATCCTTGTCCAAATTAGCTTCCAGGACATCTTCCTCCTCCTGAATAGAAAAAAAGGTGTTTACAGTATATTCTACACAGTGATAAATCACAGGTGATTAAAGTGTCAAATGTAGTGCTTGGTGTTAAACTAGGTTTTTAGATACTCACCAATTAGTAACAGGGAAAAGTAAGAATTACAGTTTGCTTATAACACAGTAAGTGGTTTGATCTTTACCTGGCAGTCAGTCAGGAATGATAAATGTGCAGTGGCAAAGTTCCTAGTCTAACAGAATTGTTGCTACAAATGTAAGTGACAAAGTAACCTGGTGCAGCGACAAACACAAAACAAACACATTTTCTTTTGTGCAACATTTCCCTTACAATGATTTATGTTGTACAAATGAAAAATGGCCATGTTTTTTTATTGCATTTTAATAAGGTGCTTTTTATTAACACCAACTTCTAAAACATTACAATGTAGAAAAACAGGCTACGTTTGCTGGTGTAGTTTTTAATTTTTTTTTCTTTTTCCAGACAATTAGACTTTTTTTTCACAGTGTTTGTTACTATGCACATTTTTGGCCCCTGAACAGTGGCACTTGTGTTTTCACCCTGAATTTCTTGTAATTACATAGCTAGGTAAAAAAAAAAAAAAAAGGCGCATATCCATTTTCAGCCTGATCACTAGAACTTATACAACAGCAATACAGAGATGGCAAACAAGGAAGATAAGGATTCTTCATGCGGCATGATCAGAACCAGCTATGGACTTCACAGAAATGCTCCATTCCAGACCTAGTTGCATCCAAGGTGGTACATGTGGCCTACAGAGAATGTAAAGGTTGGAGACCTTTTCATTGCTCCTAGAGTAGGTGTGGAAAGGTGTTCAGGCATTTTAGAGTTCAGCTCAAGTTAGCATGTTACAGAAAGTAGGGGTAAGATTTTCAGGTATGTAAGGAACAGATAATTTTTTTTTTTTTAAAGTATGATTTGCAGCAAATCGCCACCAATAATGCATCAGCATTCATTTGCAGAAATACAATGGGAGACATTTATCAATTTGGTCGCACAGCAAGTGCTAAATAATAGCAATGAGACAGATTTAAAGTGGAATTAAGTTGTTAAAAAATAATTGCAACCAGGCAGGGTTTTTTTGCAGAAGAGTCATGCCATGTCTTTTCTGCAATAGATTGAACTTACCCACCTGCTCACAGTCTCCTTTGGATTGTACATTGTGTACATGGTGCATGGTCATCCTGCATCAGCCAATCAAGGTGACCAAAGACCCAGAACTTGGAAAAAGCTGGGAAAAAAAATGTTGACGCCTGTGATGGACTTCACAGGCTTTGAATCGTTGGAGTGGAAGTATTGCAATTTGGTTACACTTTAAAACAGGTTTATGAGTATTAGGCAGCTGCATGCATAAATTGCTCCCTCCTTAACTGTGTGTCTGTAGAGTGAATATCTTTCTCAATCCCCACTATCGATCCAATACTGCATCTGCTCCGGGCTGGCTCTCTAAGACTGAGAACTGAGTGATCAAACACTGCTGATCACTCAATTCTCCCCTCTGCTCTGAGCAAAGAGCGGTAATTGCCAGTCAATGGCAATCTGCTCTGCCCCGCCAGCACTTACTGAAGCACTAAGCAGTGTAGAGGGCAAAGCAGGGATGAGAAACTTAGAGATGGTTTAGTAAAAGAAGCACATTTTGCACACATTACACATAGGCAGACATTTAACCCTCTGATCACCCTAGAGGTTAACCCCTTCCAAGCCAGTGTCATTAGTACAGTGGCAGTGTATAGTATTATCACTGAGCACTGTATTGATGTCACTGGTGATGTCAGTGTCAGCTAGTTTCAGAGTGACCGCCACTCTCCTGCAGTCCCATTAGAAGCTGCTAATCACCGCCATTAGTAGTATAAAAAAAAACAAAAAAAAAACAGTATATATACACCACAGTTTGTAGGAGATTTAACTTTCATGCAAACCAATCAATATACAAATTTGTTAATTAAAAATTATTCAAAGACATGTAGCAGAATACATTTTGGCCAAAATTTCTGAAAAAAATTGATTTTTTTTGTTACTGAGTATGTTTTATAGCAGAAAGAAAGAAATATTGTTTAAGTATTAATCTTTTTTTTTCCCGTTTATATCGTAAAAAAAAAAACAGTGGTGGTCAAATCCCACCAAAAGAAAGCTCTATTTGTGTAAAAAAAAAATTATATAAATTTTGTATCGGTACTGCGTTGCATGACCGCACAATTACCAATTAAAGTAGCACAGTGCGGAATAGCAATAAATGGCCTGGTCATCAAGGGGGTAAAACCTTCCAGAACTGAAGTCGTTAAAAGAGAACTCAAAGAATAAGATTACTTTAAATACTTACTTTGGGCCACATACAATGAAATGAATTATGCAGATGCCACTTTCGAGTGGCTGATAGTGAATGTGTAATTTACTGTTATAGCCTATGCTACATATAGAAAAAGGTGTACTAAATAAGGAGAGCTGCTTTTTTTCAAAAAATACAAGGCTTCCCTGATTTGCCTAGGTAGAGAAGCAGGCGGATTACATCACGACCTCAATAACACTCAGGTAATGTCATGCCCACTGAAACAGCAACCATTCTATACTTTGCTTAGATTTTCATATGAAAAGAATAACTGACAGTTTTGTATGACTTGGTTTTGGTATTCTATAAACAGGATAAACTACTGTGTGCAGCAAATGATAAAAGACATTAGGCTTCATCTCATAATCCCATGATTAAGTGCATGAGGCTTATGGCCTTCTTCCTTCGTGTAGATTATGCAGTTCCCTATTGTAATCAAGTATCCATATAATTTGTAGCAGGAGCACATTATCCATAATATAATCTCACTCCAACCGGCATGTTGGAAATTTGTGACTGATTTGACTATTTTTCATACTGTTTGCAGAGATATGCGTAGGTTCAGGCTACATTCATGCAAGTAGGATATAAGCATAGGCAACGGGAATGAATCATATTTAATGGTCAGACAATCAGCATTCACCTTTGTGTGTAGATGTGTTTACATTTAGTACTAAGATTAGAAGCAATTCACCTAAAGTCAGTGTAGTGGTTTTGCATATATTTTCTTTTGTTATTTATTAAGAATATATCATTTAACATATATTACATTTGTAGTCAGTTTAAATGTAAAATATTGTATAGAAATACTTTACAACTGGATTTCAGCAGCTGCTGAGAGCAAAACAACAGAGCCACCTTAATGCTACACCATTTTATTTACTACTGCGCTGGAAATATTCTATAAATTGGATATCAGATCACACACATAGCACAATGGATCTGCTATGCAGATATGCTATCGCCATATTGTATGCTCTAATAACAACCAATCAATGTTTACTTTCAGAAACATGCAGAAGGGATTCTGCAGCATACTGAATATTAGAAAATGTGTCTTTCAAGAATACAATGTATGTGGCAGTTAAACATTTCTGACTAAAATATGTGTAAAAGCATGTAATTGCAACTTCACCTGCATTCACAGTACATAGTTAGCCCAGTTGAAAAAAAGACGCAAGCCAATCTAGTTCAACCAATAAAAAATGAAAGGAAAAAAAAAAATGATAGTACAGTACAAAGTATAGTATAGTACCAAGTTCCATCATACAGTGTATCATTTAGGATAATAGTTCATAGACGTTCTATTATAATTATCTGATGAGTATGGGTATCCACTCCAAAATACAAACACTGGGCAAAAATCATTAAACTGTACTTAGGTTGCAATCAGGGAACAGTAGCTTTGAAATCTGAATAACCACAGTAATGTAATTTTGTTTTTCCAATGTATTCGGTTCATGAGTAAACCATTGCTCTATAAATGTTCCCGTTGCCACAACAGTGAGTCACAGTTATCTGGACATTCAATAAAGGGAGTTTTATATGTGCGATAAAATTCTGGAAAGCTCACCTCCTCCTCATCTGCCTCTTCCTCATCATCAGATTCTGCTGCTTCATCAAACTTCTCTTCTAATACAAAAAAAAACCCAGAAAATATCAGTCTTTTCAAGTACACTGTCTGCAGGCTGCTGATGAACTTTTTAATAAAAATTATTTAGATCCTTATTACCCAAAGTGAACAATGACTGATTGGTTGCAGTTTTTCTTTCAGGTAATGTAACAAGGGAGACTTTTCTATCAAATTGTATATAAAAATCTTATTTAAACAGAAATGTAGCCTAGTCATTGCCACAAAGAGGAAAACAGATTCAATTCCCCTGTACATAGTATTTTGGATAAAATAGCTATAGGCAGACAAGGTGAAATTCTTCTGAACTGACATGTTCTTCAACAGATAATTTAGGCAACAAAACTGAACTGTGGGCACAAAAACTCATTTAAATATACAGGGGTTAGACAAAAAAATGGAAACACTACATGATTTGCAGGTGTGAAGCGACAATATGCTTCACATTGAGAGTGAAAGCGCTGCACAAACTGTTGGCGCTATATAAACCCTGTATAATAATAAGTGATGAGTGATAAGACACCTAGCTAACAGGTGGGAAGCCTCACTTTCATCATTCACTGTATGCACTGCTAGCGATACAGAATGTCGTCAGAGATTACTGAGCTTCAAAGAGGGCAAATTGTTGATGCCACTTAGCTGGTGCCTCTATGACTGAAGTTGCCAATTTATATGCTGTGTTAAAAGGTAGAGAAATAAAAAGGTTATGATAGCATATACAGTTTCTGGGAAAATGTCGTCTGATAATTATAAGCATGGTCGACATGGTCAACTGACCAAAATAGTCAAAAAGGACATTGTGCAGGATTGTGACCCAGAAAAAGAAAACAACTGCTGCAAAATGACTGCAGAGCTCAATCTCAGTCTTCACGTCACCAACAATTTGCACTCTTTGAAGCTCAGTAAGCTCTGATATGACTTGGTATTATCAGCAGCGCATGCAGTGAATGATGACAGTGAGGCTTCCCACCTGTTAGCTAGCTGTCTCATCTAACAGTGGAAGCAAAAGAATGTTATATCACTTCCACTAACATGTTGTCACTTGCTCACCTGCAAAGCATGTAGTGTTTCCATTTTTCTCTAACCCTGTATATCACTGAGCTGCACATAACTTGTGCAGCAGGCAGAGCAATGGGAAGGACACAACACGCTCATCCACTACAGGTTGCCTGCAGAAAAGTACAGGAGTGGGAAGGAGACAAGACTAGTCACCCACCCTGTACAAGCAGCAGTGACCGGTGTACAGAGGCACAAGTGTCGCGCTGGATTGCTCAAAAATCCACAAGACATTCACAAAGCACATCAAGATTCAATTAAGAATACACAAGCTTCTTATTCAGTATTTAGACAATATTTGCTTTTCCTGGAGTTCAGCTTTAAAAAGGACTTTTGCACGATCAGCATGAGACAAACTCTATGACTAATTTACAAAAAAAGCATTTTGTGGGTTATTTTACACAAAATAGTTTTGATAAAACGTTTTTAAACAAGTATTATTTTTACACTGGACAATAAACTGTACTATACAACTTGCCAGCTTCAGCTATCACTGTGCCTCTAAAGAATTGTAAACAAACCTCATGTGATCACCATGACTGGCTGTCATGTTGACCACATGATCAGGAATCAGACAGCATGGTTCCTGTAGACCAGTGCACACCAGTTCCAAACTAAAACGCAAATTAACAGGAAACTGTGCCTGAAAATGTTGAACTACATCATTTTTACAAAACAGCCAATCACCAGCTGAAAAAATGGTACCAAGATCACAGCTGCAGCTATTATCTTGTAATAACCACTTGCTGACAGGGCATTTCTATACATACATGAATCAGCAAATCGTTAAATACCTAGTTTTTATGTATAGTTTGTAATTACATTATATACATAGGATAACCCATATTTGCTCAGTACATATACAGGCTGTGCTTTCACAAAGTAAAACTACACAGTGGTTGTGCCTTATGCATACACTCTTCCTGATGCAAGTCCTGTGAGCCAGGATCTGTCTGACTGAAAAAAACACTTCTCTGAGCTTATTGCCCATGCATGGCACTGTCTCTGTCCTGTGTGTCATGCTTGACACAGCCATACAGAGAAATATGGATGAAGCCATAGGAAAGAATAAGCCTCAGCATGCATACATAGAAAGCACAGAGTCCAAGTCAGGACTACTTTCAATCAATGACTTTGCACTGTACAGCAGTCGAACAGTGATCATCTCCAGAACAAGGCTTAAGGCTGTTTTTTTTTTTTTTTCACATGGGTTATACTAAAGGGGGTGGAAGGCAGCTGTAAATAAACTACTTTAGTAAAAGAAGTTGTCCTTTAGGCATGCATATAAAATATCAAGTTCACTTTATATATTAGCTTAGTACGATTTATGACTATCAAGATGCTTTTATTGTTGCTTCTGAACCTGTTTCATTACAATTTCATCACTTTAATCACAGTCAAAATCTGAGCAAGTGGTAACCAAAATTCAACCTCCAATCTTTTTATCTGCATTGCTCCTAATAAAAAAATTACTGTCTTTTGGTCAACACGACGATTATGGAGTCTGTTGAATTTCTAAAAAGATACGTCTCAGTGAAACCAATTAAACATATATTTTTCCTTGCTCAGCAACAATGTTTTACAAATTGATATTAGCCTGCATGCAGACACGGGCTGGATTGGTTGAAATTGAACTATCCTGTTACATCATAACAAGTCAGAAATAGCTTGCACAAGTACACTAACCTGAGTTGAGTTGTCTAATAATGAACTCAATTTGACGGTTCATATCTGTGTTCCCTTCCTTAATGAAACACCTCAGAATTTCTTGCATTCCCTGGAAGTTAAAGAGACAAAAGTGTTCTCTACGGCAGAATTGGAAAACATAACAATAATTACACTGATTAGATAAACGCAAAATAACTTAATACAGTAACCACATAGACCTTTCTTAACTAAAATCAGATTTTAATCTATGCCACTATTTCCTCCATGTAATAATGGCTTAGAAGTATGCATACCCGACAGAAAGACATACAGTCAGGTCCATAAATATTGGGACATGGACACAATTCTAACATTTTTGGCTCTATACACCACCACAATGGATTTGAAATGAAATGAACAAGATGTGCTTTAACTGCAGACTGTCAGCTTTAATTTGAGGATATTTACATCCAAATCAGGTGAACGGTGTAGGAATGACAACAGTTTGCATATGTGCCTCCCACTTGTTAAGGGACAAAAAGTAATGGGACAATTGGCTTCTCAGCTGTTCCATGGCCAGGTGTGTGTTATTCCATCATTATCCCAATTACAATGAGCAGATAAAAGGTCCAGAGTTCATTTCAAGTGTGCTATTTGCATTTGGAATCTGTTGCTGTCAACTCTCAAGATGAGATCCAAAGAGCTGTCACTATCAGTGAAGCCATCATTAGGCTGAAAAAACAAAACAAACCCATCAGAGAGATAGCAAAAACATGAGGCGTGGCCAAAACAACTGTTTGGAACATTCTTAAAAAGAAGGAACGCACCGGTGAGCTCAGCAACACCAAAAGACCCGGAAGACCACGGAAAACAACTGTGGTGGATGACCGAAGAATTCTTTCCCTGGTGAAGAAAACACCCTTCACAACAGTTGGCCAGATCAAGAACACTCTCCAGGAGGTAGGTGTATGTGTGTCAAAGTCAACAATCAAGAGAAGACTTCACCAGAGTGAATACAGAGGGTTCACCACAAGATGGAAACCATTGGTGAGCCTCAAAAACAGGAAGGCCAGATTAGAGTTTGCCAAACGACATGTAAAAAAGCCTTCACAGTTCTGGAACAACATCCTATGGACAGATGAGACCAACATCAACTTGTACCCGAGTGATGGGAAGAGAAGAGTATGGAGAAGGAACTGCTCATGATCCGTCGCATACCACCTCATCAGTGAAGCATGGTGGTGTTAGTGTCATGGCGTGGGCATGTATGGCTGCCAATGGAACTGCTTCCCTTGTATTTATTGATGATGTGACTGCTGACAGAAGCAGCCGGATGAATTGTGAAGTGTTTCGGGAATATTATCTGCTCATATTCAGCCAAATGCTTCACAACTCATTGGACGCTTCACAGTGCAGATGGACAATGACCCAAAGCATACTGCAAAAGCCACCAAAGAAGTGGAAAAAAAGAAAAATTCTGGATTTATACCCTAGGGGCACTTGTCCCATCTGGACTAAACACAGAACTTAACTTTGGGGTGTTTTTGAAATAAATTCCCTTGAACTCTCTATATACCCTGAGCTATAATCTACATTGCGATACCTTATATATGAACTAAATATGGGCCTCTGTGGACAAAATATGAACCTAATTGTTCAATTTTTTCTACTCTTATTAGGTGGTGAGCATATAGAACAATAGGACTGATTTTGAAATCCTGGTAGCTGGACTTGGTTTTGATGTTTCCCTATGTGAAAGTGAAATATGCTAATAATAATCTCCTGTTTATCATTCTTTTGGAAGATGATTTGATCCATAGTAATTAGGCTCCTCTTCCACATCCAGCAATCATTTTAAAATTCAAGATATATGTTTTAATTCACTTTTGGATATTCCCAATGTAGTGATATTCTTTCAACACAAGATGGCGAGGTGGAGACTTTTTGGTATGCAATTAGTGCACCATATAAGGCAAAGGATTGAAGTCCCCTCCCAGTTCTGACGAAGTCTGCGGTGATTGGCGGACGAAACGCGTCAACGTATTGACGTCACTACGCTCGGCGTCTTCACAGGGTGCGGCGCCCACGAGGCGGGAAGGAACGGCGATGTCACAGCTCCCTGTTAGGTAGGCCCAAGACCTTTTGAGAACTACCAGTGGGCTATTATCACAGCGGTTCGCAAACGGCAATCCCTCAGGGAAACATATCTTCCACCGGTGGCAAGTTATTTAAAAGCTTACGGCTGTTGTTGAGATTTACAGAGCCTACATGGTGTTCATAGGGCATGTTGTATGGGCCTAATTTACCCTGTATACTCGGGGAATTTTTTGGAAATCCTCTCAGGAGGAGAATCTACATATACATATATATATATATATATATATATATATATATATATATATATATATATATATACATACGCTATCCTATTCAGGTATTTTTTGCTGTGACATAGCCACATCCTTATAAAACCGCAAATAACCTTCTCAAATTGAGCAATTTTTGGAAACCCTTTACTGGGTATATTAAATTCAGGTATCTACGGCCTGCTATATGCTATATACACACTATATGTGTTTGAAATCCACGCATCGTGTATACCTGGTCCCTCACCCCCATATGCATTTTTGGAAAAGCATCAAGGACCTGATCTTAGTTCAAGTCGACAGGAGTCTTCTTGATCCTCATTGATGGTAATATATCCACATCTTTATGTGTGTTTTGTTTTCGGGGTTACCTGATGCCCATGTTCTACACATTTATTATCTTTTTCTATATATATCCTCAGAATCATTTGGTACTGTGGACCTTGTTCCATTTGGGGTGGCTATCCAGGAAGTCCCTACATTTGAGAGGCGGGTATGATAGTCTCACCTTTGAGAAGGTAACAGCAGTATCCATTGACTATTGTGGAGGGAGGCCTGGTAAATTTTGGATGTGATTTGGTTTCCATATTGCTAGATACATACCATGTATTTTTGTGTTCCAGCTTGTACATTCCAGGAGGTCCCTGACATATACTGGGAACACACCCACTGAATATACGGTTCACACAAATATTAAGCAGGAAACCTACGGAAATCCAGGATAACTATTCCATCATTACACCACTCTGCCTTATATGGTGCTCTGTTGGCTAAGATGACCCCTAAATTGAAGACGCTAAGTGTTTTTAAACATGATTTTATTTTTTTCATATGTACACCGTGCTCATGTTTAACCTCCCCATGATCTATGTGATCAAATAAAGTATTGTTAAATTCATTTGAATTCATACTACTCCGCGTGGATCTTTTAGAAACCTTCTTTTTCAGATAGGCGTGTTCTTGTCACACTATCATATTGTTTAGTATGCTGTCCCCTGGGTTTATGTATCCACACTTGTATAAGTGAGTCGGAGAGGTGCTTATGACATTAACAATTAGTGTCATTTTTGGTGGCTTGCTTTTGCTTTATTGTTGTGATATACTTCCTTAAAGGTTCTTATAACCTGTTCTGCCACCTTGGAGGTTTGGACTCAGTCTTAAACATCTGCATGGTGTACAGTGATTGCTGGATTATTGATATTTTTTGACTATATCTATATGATACTGTGTAATTCCCTCCCCTTTTGTGGAAGGGAAAATACCTAAGGAGGTAATGGCCCTACTTGATCAATGAGGAGATGGATGCGGAAATTAGATCTGCATTTACTAAGAACTTAGACCCCCAAGGAGAGGGAAATGAGGGAGACATCAAGACCAAGTTTAAGCTACATAAGAAAACTAACTACTAAATATTTGAATAGAAAGTGGGATATTACATCCCTTGAATATATATATAGAGAGAGGGATTGTTCCCAGGGGATTAAGAGAAAGGGTAATTCCAGCAGAACATCTTCACACCCCCAGATTTCTGGAAGGTGGAAAGAGGTCTGTATAAAACATGGCATAGAGATTATGCGATTAATTGTGGAAGAAGAGAAGGTTCAACTAAATGAACTCTCTAATGAAATTAATGAGAGCGCAAAATCACTTGATCCTCTGAAGAATGATCCTGAGTTTGATAAACATAATGATTTCCTTAGAAAAGAGATAGAAAAAATACAAAAAAATCTGAAATTTACGAAACAACAAAAATTTAGAAGAGACCTAGAGGACTGGGAGAAAGGTGAGATATTTGACCTAACTAATAGTAGAGGAAGGAGTCGATCAAAACGTAAAAAACATTTTTCTAGAAATAATAGAGGATATTCATCAATGAGTGAGGATGATGATGAAAGTAATAAGAGATCTGTCAGTTTTTTAGAGGAAAAAAAAAAACAGATGGCGAGAACCCATGGAATACTAAAACAAACAAACAAACAAATGAATGGGACAAAGGAAGAAAGAAATACCCCAATTGCCCTCAAACCATCCAATCAAAATCGAACCAGAAGTCACAAGAGATAAAAACTAACCAAGAGGGGGAACGAATGACCTTAAGGTAATAAATCTATCTAATTTTGTATTGAAAAAAAGACACTATGATTTACTGCGGAAAGGTCTAACTTTTTCTCCTACGGACAAAATGGACTTGTTTGAGGTCTATAAAGACTTAAACTTGTTTCTGAGAAAGATCCTTTTAAGAATTCCATATGTATCTAGAGAAGAACAAAATCCCTGTGATCTGAATTCAGAGAGAGAACAACAGGCATTAAGAGATCTCATTAGTCTCCTTGATGAGACTCCCACAGACAGTGAATTTGGGGAGGGAGATGTTTCTAACAAGTGGAAAAGACATACTAGACTTAAAACTCCTTCCAGAAGAATGCCTAATATCAGGGAAAATAAATGGCTAAGTACTTTTTTAGATCTAGTACATGATGACCTTGGAAAAATAGACTGGACAATGAGGAATGCTGATAACCTCACTAGGGGTGAAAGAATAGCCCTTAGGGAACTTAGAAATGCTAAAAACATTGTGATTAAAAAGAGTGATAAAGGGGGGAATGTAGTACTACTAGAGAGTGTGGAATATGAGAAGGAGGTGTTTAGACAGCTGAGGAGTCTGGATACATATCGCAAACTACATAATAACCCGTTCCCAAAACTGGTGGTTGATCTAAATAAAAAAGTGGGGATTGGCACGTGAAGCAAACCTATTAACCAA